ACTTAGTTTGTTTCTCAGAGTCCACAGTCTCTCGTGGTTCATCTCCCACTCCGATTTCACCCCTTCACTTTTCCTTTCCTTCTCCTAATGTCCTCCATGTTATTCTTTATGTTCCACAAGTAAGTGAAACCATATAATTGACTTTCTCTGTTTGACTTATTTCACTCAGCATAATCTCCTCCAGTCCTGTCCATGTTGATAGAAAAGTTGGGTATTCATCCTTTCTGATGGAGGCATAATATTCCATTGTATGTATGGACCATATCTTCTTTATCCATTCGTCTGTTGAAGGGCATCTTGGCTCTTTCCACAGTTTGGCGACTGTGGCCATTGCTGCTATGAACATTGGGGTACAGATGGCCCTTCTTTTCACTGCATCTCTATCTCTGGGGTAAATACCCAGTAGTGCAATTGCAGGGTCATAGGGTAGCTCTATTTTTAATTTCTTAAGGAATCTCCACACTGTTTTCCAAAGTGGTTGCACCAAATTGCATTCCCACCAACAATGTAAGAGGGTTCCCCTTTCTCCACTTCCTCTCCAACACTTGTTGTTTACTGTCTTGTTAATTTTGGCCATTCTAACTGGTGTAAGGTGGTATCTCAATGTGGTTTTGATTTGAATCTCCCTGATGGCTAATGATGATAAAGTTTTTCAAGTGTCTGTTAGCCATTTGTATGTCTTCTTTGGAGAACTGTCTGTTCATGTCTTCTGCCCATTTTTTGACATAATTATCTGTTTTTTGAATGTCAAGTTTGAGGAGTTCTTTACAGATCTTGGATATCAGCCCTTTGCACTGTCATTTGCGAATATCTTCTCCCAATCCGTGGGTTGCTTCTTTGTTTTGTTGACTGTTTCCAGTGCCATGCAGAAGGTTTTTATCTTGATGAAGTCCCAAAAGTTCATTTTTGCTTTTGTTTCCTTTGCCTTTGGAGACATGTCTTGAAAGAAGTTGCTGTGATCAGAAAAGACTCTGATTTGCTAAGGAAATGTTGAAAAAGAAAAATAAAGCTGGGGGCATCATGTCGCCTAATTTCAAGGTTTACTACAAAGACAGCATGGTACTGGCAGAAAAACAGACACATAGATCAATGCAACAGAGTTGAGAGTCCAGAAATGGACCTGCAACTCTATGGTCAAATAATCTTCAACAAAGCAGGAAAAAATATCCAGCGGAAAAAAGACAGTCTCTTCAATAAATGGTGTGGGAAAATTGGACAGCTATGTATAGAAGAATGAAATTCTCTAAGGCTTTAAACACACAGTGCCAACCTGCCTTCTGGGACAGGTTGCTCCAGCAATATACTGATAATTTCCTCTGACAATATTAGGTTTTAGAACGTCTAATCAAAGTAACTATCTTAAAATGAAAAATCATCAAAACATGGTTATATTACCCTTCTCCAAAACCATCCTGTAAGTATCAATTTATTGGTTTACTAACTTGGTCATTCCGTAAGTATTAGGGATGTACCAAGTGCCAAAAATTAGGCTAGAAGATACTGGGGATACACAGGGGAAGAAGGCATAGGACTTGCCCTTGAAGGTTTTATAGTTTCCCTTGCAAATGGGATATATAATAGAAACAATCCCAGAAGATGTGACAGATGCCAGAGAAAGGAACTCCTGACTCTCCTCAGTGTCAGCTAAAACAGCTCCCACAGAGGGGGTCATATTTGAACTATAGCTGAAGGACAAGCAGGAGTTTGCTAAGCTGAGTCGACAAGGAACAGCAACGCAGACTGAAAACCCCATGTCTTGCTTGAAGCTCAGAATGCCAAGGATTCTGTGGGGATGGTGTCATGTTTTATTCAACAAACTGGTAAGAAAAGGGACTGTGGAGAGAAAGAAGTCTTGTGTCCCCTGCTGGGACCACATTCATAAGCTTTGGGGAGTGATTACAGGATTTTATGTAGAGGACTGGCATGATCCACTTCATATTTTATAAATTTGTACTTAGAAATAGAATAAAGTGAGGCACCTTGGTGGCTCTGTCATTAAACATCTGCCTTTGGCTCAGGTCATGATCCCAGTGTCCTGGGATCGAGCAACATTATCAGGCTCTCTGCTCAGCAGGGAGCCTGCTTCTCCCTCTCCAGCTCCCTCATGCTTGTGTTCTCACTCTCGCTCTCTCTATCATAAATAAATAAAATCTTTTAAAAAAAAAATAGAAATAGAATAAAGGGATCACAGGACACTTTTCGGACAAGTGTACCACCCCAAGGAGGACCCCTCCCGACCCCACACTGGGAAAACATTAACAAACCACCCTTTGTTGATATTGTTTCACAGATCACACATGAGACTGAAGGAAAACAGCAGTCCTCTGACCTCTAGGGTATCAGATCAACAAGTCACCGCACCTCAGACCTGCAAGTCCCCTTCAACTCTACCGGCTCCAAAACCCTCATTTTCACAGGTGAGAACGCCAGGAAGCAACTTGCCAAAGGTCACACACGGGATGCCGACCCACTTTTACCGGGAATGTGTTTACAAAGTGTTATTCTATAGGATGAGATTTCTCAGCTGAAAAAGAAAATGTTCCTATGAATTTCAAAATCATTGGTTGATACAGTTTAACGACATTTATTCCTTAACGAAGACAAGCAAAAATTTGAAAGTCTTTAAAATAGATTGGAGTATTGCCAAATATTCTGTATAATGGAAAATAACTTCTATTTTTTAAAAAGATTTTATTCATTTATTTGAGAGAGAGAGAGAGAGTATGAGCAGGGGGAGGGGCAGAGGGAGAAGCCAAGTCCCTGCTAGCAGGGTGCCCTACGTGGGGCTCAATCCCAGGACCATGGGATCATGGTATGGGCTGAAGGCAGACACTTAGCCGACTGAGCCACCCAGGTGCCCCAGTAACGTCTAGTTTTGCAACAAACTAACCAATAAAAAAAAAAATCGTGAAACTTCAAAATAAATGAATATAATCTGGCTTAGAATAAATCTTATTTTTCAAGTTTGTTCATTTATTAGCATTCCTTAGGTCAGTCTTATATTGACAAACCATGGCACGTGTTCATTTGGAAATGTTGCTTGTACTTAAACCACACACATATCTACTGGTCTTCCCCTTCCCTAACCCACCTCCATATTAAAGCATTTTCTATCTCCTGGAACATATATAACATATATAACACACATATATAACATATAACATATATAGCATATACATATATTTATAACATATATAAATGTTATATATGTTATAACTCCACTAGCTGGTGGAGTTAAAGAAAAAATCTGCTTTCAAAACTCTAATCATTCCTTGTCCAGTCTTTTTTTTTTCCTTTTGCACAAACTCTATGCCAAAAAAAGAACAGACTCCCACTTTCAGTCCCCCACTAATCTGTGTTTCCAAGTGACTCAATCTAACATGATTAATCAAACGTCCTGCAACATCTCCCGAGTACCACAGACCCAGAAGAATTCATACTAATAGGCTTAATTGAAGTGTCAGTTGTGAGCTGTCAAAAGAACAAATATCAACATGCTAAATGTTTTCTCCCTTGAACATAATTTCTCCGTATCAATGACTTTCTGAAGGGAGGTGTCTGTTCCCTTGGCTCTCTTTGGCTGTGTAAATTAACACCAAAAGCCTGTGCCATGGTTACTTACAAACCACAAGCCACTTTAATCCCATTTGCCTGGATATCACGGTTGATCATGTAGGTACCACCACGTGGCAAAGAGCAAGCCCTCGGTCAGGGCTTGAAGGCATTGTTGAAAGAGCCACAGGCTCTAGACTCCAGAGTGTGAATGTGAGCAGGATCGGGGTGCCACTTTCCCAGTCTGATATCCAACACCACTCTGCATATTGTTGCTAGCCAAAGCGGGGCTCCCAGGCACCCAGCAAAAGGACAACATGAGATATCCTTCACTGCTCACTTGTTTGAAGTCTATTTGCCATTCAACTCAAAGGCCACCTCCTCCAGGAAGTCATCTTTGACTGACCCGCTTGGAGTTACATCTTCCAGGGCCTGCTAATCATTCTAGCGATTGGCCCCAGGGATAGTTGCATCACCTGACCTGAGGCAGAGTTTTCCAATGGACTTTATATATGCAGATGCCTTCTTCTAGGACTTTCCTCTCAAGTGGCTACAGAGGTTGAGAAAAGCTTGCAGCCAGGCTTCCTAGTTCAAATTTTCCCCCTCTATCACATGCCACGTACACATACCTTCCCAAATCCATCATTCCCAAATGAGTCTTGTGAGACTCATCTGCAAGGCAGAACGAAGCCAGCATAGAGAAGAGTCGAGAGAGAAAACATGCACCACCCATGGTGTTCTGCCTTTTAAACACCCAGCCGAGGAGGGGTAGATGGGCACTGAAATCTAGCCTGTGCTCTGCTCACTCTGGCGAGGGGCTACCTTCAACCAGAGGAAAGGACACACACACCCTTTTTTTGCAGACAAAGGCTCTGTCTGCTCACCAAGCCTTCTTGTAATGTCTGTGCTGCAGATGGATGGGTGATAAGATCATCAGAGCCTCCAGGATTTCACCATCCTTCCCAGGCTCAGCCACTGCCACAGTCTTTTCACCTAAACTTGCCTCAGTGGGTTCTGGTCCCTTGTCACCAAAGAATTCCTAACCGATACAGGAGATCAGACGCCTAGATCGTTCTGGGTGAAATGGCACGTTTGCTCTAGCCTTAAACCTCCCCTTGGCTGTTGTCTCTGGACTCATGCTTTGAATCTCCAAGTCCTTACACTTCCCTAGCCAGGTGCGACTAACCAGTAATAGCCTTCTTTTTCTTTCTCAGAGACACAGATAGTCTAACAAAGAAATTAAGTTCAACAAATAATGCTGCATTTTATTCTTGAACATGAGGACTTATGACCGCTGTCCCAACCTTTTCAATAACTCTTCTGCTGTCGAGCCCAGCTGTGCAAAGATCACCTGCTCCTGCTTGGTCGGCAAAAGGGCCCCTGTTCATCTTCCTTTGTAAATCCCGGTGTGTGCTGCTGTGGTTCGTGTGTAAGGAACGATCACTCACCCTCTTTGGTGTCTGTCCAACTCATGGAGAACTGTGTGGTCACAGTACTCAAACACCAGGTGAAGCTTCCGCTTCTTTCTGAAGACTTCGATGAGGTTCACAAGGTTGGGATGCTTGAGTTGCTGAAAACACAGAAAACAAGGTTTGCCAAGCTGGGGCTGTGAAGGATAGCTTTCTCTAATTCCAATCCAAGAAAAAGAGAGCGGTTTGTGCTTTAGGAAGTTTCTTGTCTTGGGTTAAAGGAAACTGCAAATGGTATGAACTTACAGCTCCCAAGGAGCTCTTAGCAGCTAGGAAATGATTACAGCCTCACCCAGGTGGCTGGTGAAAGCAAAGAGAGAGATGAGAAGTCTGGAAAAGAAAGGAGAATGAAAAATCGGGGGCGATTTTTAGTTAACGCAAACTCATCCTTTAAGGCTCAGATCAAATGTCTCTGCCTAAAGAGGGGTCTCTGGATCTCCTCCCCAGGCTGGTTTGGTGTCCCTGTATGTCTTATAGTCCCCCTGAAATAGATCTCCTTGGCAATCCTCTGGAATTACCAAATAATCGTTTATTTGACTCTTCAATGTCTTCTGCTGTCAGTAGATACAATAGATGAAACCACTGAAAATAAGAATCATGACCTCAAGATTCTCTTATTTCCTCCAAATGATGTGGCTGTACCCCTAGCACAGGGCCTCACGCATAATAGACATTTGACAATTATTTGTGAATGAATGAGTAAATCATGTTTCCTAGGTTGATGAAATATTTTAAAACAGAAGAAAGAGGAATACTCGTTAAGCCAATGTGCCTGAAGGTGTGTATCTAGAGAAAAAAAAAAAAGGTCGGAATCAGGGTTGTGTTGCCAAGGCTAAATCTTGCTCTTAACTTCCTAGACCCTTCTGTCTGCAATCCTGTCGGAAACACGGCAATTAGGCAAATGAATTATTGTAAAGAGAGTCAAAATGATTAACTTTCTTCAGGGCATGAAGGCCTTCCAACAGCTGGCTAAGAAACAAAAGAGGAAGCCAGATGACATTACCACTGCCTCAATTCTAGCAGTCAAAGCAAAGCACAAGACACCCCCATGCCCAGATTCTGTCCTGAGGAAGCCCAGGATGAAGAAGCCCAATGGGAGGGAGGCCCAGGCATCCTGGCAGAGCTCAGCCCCCAGCCGAGCCACCTACACTCAGCTTCAAGAGTGAACCCAGGCAAGGCCTACTGAAGGAACACAAACCGCAAACCATGGAATTGTGAGAAACAAAAGATTCTTGTCCGGAGCTCCTGAGTGTGGGGGAGGTTATACCGCCATAGAGCAACAGATAACCTGTACTAGGTCCCAGGGACTTCTGGATACTACAGACACCCACACCCCATTCCCAGAGACCCTGAACTGGTCTTAGGTAGGGGCCAGGCATTTGTTTTTTTTCCTCAGAATTCTCTGGGTGATTCAATATGTAGCCAGAGGTATTGATCACAGACAAGCAGATATTTCATAAGAGGTAAAGGTGTTAGGAGAAAAAGTGAAGAAGTGGAACTGCTAGCTGTACCACAGTCGTGCGGGCGAGAAGAGAGGCAGCCAGCAAGAGGAATATGGAAGAAGACAGCTATTTTCTCGTTTTCTTTGTAATATCCCTCTGTGTCTTCGAGTTGTGAAGTTCCTCCTCTAGATACTATGCTTGATGAAACAAATATAAAACAGCCACGATACTCTACAGGCTGTTAGTCCCATGTGGGCCTTGGAACAGAGGGCCCTCGAAGCTACAAAACCTCACATTTATGGTAACATACCTGGAAACTTCTAGCCTGAGTTAGCATTTTCCAGAATAGTAGAACAGATCTGACCACTGTCTTACACCAAAGAATCACATCGGCTTAGATGCCTCCAACAGTGAACAACCAGTTTGAGGGGGCTAAGTGGCAGCATGAAGACAGAATTAGCAGAAAACAGGTTTCCTTTCAGGCTCTGTAACAGTGCTATCCATAGGTCCAGACTTCAAATCTTAGATAATTTTTTTTAAAGATTTTATTTATTTATGACAGTGAGAGATTGCAAGAGCGGGAATATAAGCAAGGGAGGAGCTAGAGAGGGAGAAGCAGGCTCCCCGCTGAGCAAGGAGTCCTATGTCGGGCTCTATCCCAGGACGCTGGGATCATGACCTGAGCAGAAGGCAGATGCTTAACTGACTGAGCTACCCAGGCACACCTAAATCTTAAGATTCTTAAAAAAAAATTTTTTTTAAGATTTTATTTATTTAGGGGCGCCTGGGTGGCTCAGTGGGTTAAGCCTCTGCCTTTGGCTCCGGTCATGATCTCAGGGTCCTGGGATCCAGCCCCGCATCGGGCTCTCTGCTCAGCAGTGAGCCTGCTTCCTCCTCTCTCTGCCTGCCTCTCTGCCTACTTGTGATCTCTCTCTTTCTGTCAAATAAATAAATAAAATCTTTAAAAAAAAAAAAGATTTTATTTGAGAGAGAGCATATGTGTGTGCACAAGCACAAACAGGGGGGAGAGTCACAGGGAGAGAGAGAAGCAGACTCCCTACTGATCAGGGAGCCCAACATAGGGTTCAATTGCAGGGTCCTGGGATCATGACCTGAACTGAAGGCAGACGTTTAACAGACTGAGCCAACCAGGTGCCCCCAGATTTTAGAGTCTTTCAGTTTTCTGTGATTCTTTTCCATGTTCCGTATGTAGTCCTCACTTTTATCTCTAGGCACAAGTACAAATCTATTAGTTGACTACCCAGACCTTCTCCAGATGCCAAGACTGGTGCCTCCATCTTGTCCCGCCCACATCCGCAGGGATCACTGCAGGGCACTGTGGCATGAGGGTAAAACCCGAAGGCCCTCTCAACTTTGGAAAACCTGAACCCTGGAAACTATAAGGTATTCTATTCAAATAACACGTAGATTCTTTCCAGTGTGTGGCTGTTGTAAGTAAAGTGTCGATGAATCATTTACTCGTTGGTTGACCTTAACTTTGAGGAAGGTTGGGCTTCCATTTCCATCCATGGGAGTAGGGGGCTGAAGGGCTACTGTGAGCCTGCCATGCAGAGTGAGCTCAACAATGTCGGGCACATGGGGACCTCTCCGTGGAGGATAACTGCTAATATCACTATTGGGAGTTAGAGCTATTTTATTCGGGATGATTTTCTCTATTCAGCATATTCAACAATTATTTCTTTATTTTAATGCATTAGTTAAAGTCGTAAGGCTATAGAGACAAATAAAGCCAGCCCTGCCCCTACCCTCATGGAGCTTAGAACCTAAGATGGTGAGTAAATAGTGAACATGTAATTATAGATACGAGAAATGTCACAAAAAAACAAGACAAAGGGTGCTGAGTTTGCGGTTGGTGGGTAGTCCAGGGAAGATCTCCTTGAGAAAGTTAGGTAGACACCACCTAGAAGCACCAGAAATACAACTTTATGGCTCTAGAGTTGGCCAAATTGTTTTCCAAAAGGATCATACATATTTACAGCTGTCAGGAGGAGGAGAGTACTTTTTACCATCCCATGGCCGGCTCTGAGGTTCATAGAGACCTTTGAGGTTGGTGATGTATATCGTCAAATTGCTTCCGGCAACACACGTCATGTGACTTTTAAACCATGTGTGTCTCCTAACCCCCTCCATGAGATAACTGGTATGTCACTGAAAATGGGCCACTTACTTACTTCTCCACTTATTTTCAGAACAAACTTAATTAAGAAAAATTGGTCACTAAGACCAAATTCTACTTAGGACTTATAAATTATAAATACTTTAAATTATTAACTGTCTCTAGGTTGCCAGGATTCTGGGTGACCAGAACACATTCCAGAACAGCAGATATCTGGAACTCATTCCCAGCTAATGTTCATTTATTCGACAAAGATCTACAGAGCTCGTGCTCTGTCTCAGGTACTGTTATAGGCACTAGAGACACACTGGTGAATGGGACGGAAGACTCAGGCATTAAAAAAGTGGCATGAAGAGCTCTGCATGTAGATTAGGCTACCTCAGAGGAACTGTTCCTGAGGACGTGGCCTTGAGCTGAGTCCTGGAGGGTGAGAAAGGTCTGACCAGACCAAGGTCAGGAGTGGTGGTAGAGGTGGCTTTCCACAAAGAGAACTAGCCCTGGACAGAAGGGGATTTAGGCCACTTAAGAACTGAAAGACAGGGGCACCTGGGTGGCTTAGTTGTTGTGTCTGCCTTCCGCTCGGGTCGTGATCTCAGGGTCCTGGGATGGAGTCCCGCTTCATGCTCCCTGCTCAGCGAGGAGCCTGCTTCTCCCTCTCCCACTCCCCTTGCTTATATTGCCTCTCTCACTGTGTCTCTCTTTGTCAAATAAATATATAAAATCTTAAAAAAAAAAAAAAAGAACTGAAAGAGTGTGGCTTGAGGGTCAAGTGCATGGAACTGAAGCCAGTTTGACAGTCAGGAGCTCAGTCCTGTAGGACCTCGAGGGCCAGGCTAAGAAATTTACACTTTATCCCAAGTGTAATGGGAAGCTACTGGAAAGAATTTTAGGAAGATGTGATATGATAATACTACTGGTAAAAAAAATTTTTTAAGATTTTAGTTATTTATTTGATAGAGAGAGAGGGAGCACAAGCAAGGGGAACAGCAGAGGGAAAGGGAGAAACAGGCTCCCCACTGAGCAGGGAGCCCAATGCAGAGCTTGATCCCAGGACTCTGGGATCATGACCTGAGCCAAAGGCAGATGCTTAACCAACTGAGCCACCCAGGCGTCCCCCATTTGGGTTTTTGCAAGCTCACTCTAGTGGCTGGATACAGAATGGTTTGGAGGAGGCAACATGGTGAAAGGAGACCAGGGCAGAGCACACTGACAGCTGAGAGACGATGGTGGCTTGAACCAGGCAGAGGAGGGAGATGGTGAGAATGGCAGATGGGATGGGAGATGTATTTTGTTATTAGAATATTCAGGATGTGGTAATGGACTGGAGGTGAGGGATGAGGAAGATGGAGGTGTTAAGAATGACCAAAGGATTGTATAATGGGGCAGATGGTGGTGCCATCACTGAGGGGAGGAGCAGGTTTTGGGGGGTATGAAACTACTGTTTTGGGCAGGTTGAGCCGGCAGGGACTCTGAGATATCAAAGCAGAATTGTCAGGTTGGCTGGAGTTGGAGCTGAAGACAA